TAAATATGAGACAGAGAAGATGGCTAGAATTGATCAAAGATTACAATTTTGAAGTACATTATCATCCTGGCAAAGCAAATGTTGTTGTAGATGCTTCGAGCAGAAAGTCTCATTGCAATTCTTTGTTAGAAGATGGCTTCAATTTGTTACATCCTGCTGTGCTACATAATATTATGATCAGTTGTTCTCTTGAGAGCAAGATCATTGAGCTTCAGAAGACCGATCTAGGTGCATTCCACATCAAAAGAAAGATTAAAGAGCAAGAGACTAAGCATTTCAGGATAGATGAGAATGGTGTTCTATGGTTTAAAGATAGACTAGTAGTGCCGAAGGATAAGGAACTTAGAAACCAAATCTTAGGAGAGGCTCACTCTTCTAAACTATCCATTCATCCGGGTAGTAGTAAGATGTATCAGGACTTGAAGACCCGCTTTTGGTGGACCAAAATGAAGAAGGAAATTGCAGCGTATGTTGCAAAATGTGATAATTGTTGCCGAGTTAAGGCTGTTCATTTGAAACCTATTGGACTACTTCAACCACTGTCCGTTCTAGGTTGGAAGTGGGAAGAAGTTAGCATGGATTTTATTGTTGGACTTCCACCTACTCATAAGAATTTGGATTCCATATGGGTGATTGTGGATTGCCTAACTAAGTCTGCACATTTCATTCCAGTCAGAACCAACTATCGACCGCATGAGTATGCTGAGTTGTATATATCCCACATAGTACGTCTACATGGCGTGCCAAGAACCATTGTGTCTAATAGAGGGCCGCAATTCACTACTCGTTTTTGGGAACATTTGCACAAGATGTTAGGCACCAACTTAGTCAGAAGTTCTGCCTATCACCCCCAAACCTTCGGGCAAACTGAATGTGTAAATCAAATATTGGAAGACATGTTGAGAGCTTGTGTCATCTCTTCAAAAGGTTGATGGGAAAAATGGCTACCTTTAGCTGAGTTTTCCTACAATAATAGTTATCAAGAGACACTACACCACAACATCATATCACCATAAGACATCTGACGCTAAAACTTTTTTTTATCGATGGATGATCTGACGCTAAAGATAAGTCATAAACAATCTGATGCTAATTCTCCATTTAGAGATTAACTGTCTGTCGCTATAGGAAATCATCTTTAACGTCGAACTATCTATCGCTGAAAATAGGTACGGCATCAATCCGTCTGTCGCTAAAAAAAGGGCCCCACCTTGTTCACGCGCCCACTTACATTGACCTCGCGCGCCCAGTTAGATTCAGCCCTCGCGCCTAGAATTTTGGCACGTCGCCCTAAAATCATACAACGAGCCATGTCGCCCAGAATCCTTTCTGTGGTCACTGTTTGTCCACGTCGCTAAGAAACCATCCTCCACCAAAATATCTCCCACCTCTCCCCATACTCATCGCAAAAAAAAACTCTCCCACCCGCTCCCTCTCACTCTCTCACAAGGCAAGCCGGCCGAGACTCCGGCGACCCCCGCCCCCACCGTTCCCACTCCCACCGCTTCCACCCCTGTCATCCCTTCTTCTCCCTATCTCCCAACATGGTGGCATGCTGGTCCCCTCATCTGTCTCTACTTTCACCTTCCCCTCTCTCGCGATGGCGTGGCGCACCGGCCGACAAATGGCCCGGGCGGGACGGCGGCACACGGGTGCCAGTGAGCCCCCGTAGGTGGCCGTTGCCGCGGCTGCCACCCCCGACATGGCTTCCTCCCACTGGTCCACGTGCGCTCCTGGGCTCAACGAAACATCAAAACCCTAGGTGCCTGTGTTCGATGCCTCCGTCTATGCGCACATGGCCTCTTCCTCGGTGGATCGGCTTGGTGGCCAGATCTGGAGGTACCTCACCCTCTTCTTCTCTGTCTCATGGCTCGTCACCCAGATCCGTCCTCCGTCTCATGGCTCATCACCCAGATCCTCCCTCCCTCCATCTTCCCCTTTTTGCAGTGCAGGACAGCTAAGGCTGAGGCACCGACCAACTAGGGAGGCAACAGTACACGAGCCAGCTACAACAACAAGCGCCAAGTACCTCAAATTTTAAATGCAGGAAGTACCGATGAATAACTATGGTATTATTCTAATTTTTAGAAGACAACCATGGTGTAAATGGTTTTTCCTATACTCTCATCATTCTTCTGGAAATATATTTTCCATATTTAATTAGCTATGTATGTTTATACCTCTTATAGCTTAGCAAAATAGTATAGTGGTGGTGCATGCTATATTTATCCCAAATATTTCCAATATGTACCATCCCGACCTCCGTAAATATATTAGGTTCTTTGTCTTTTGGATTGGGACATACAGAGTACTTGAGAGCCTTGTCATATGTGGTTCTAAGCCTACCACCATGTATGAACTTTTATTTAGCCTTGCCAACTGTTGTGGGCTCTCACTGATGAATATTATTTTCAAATATATAGTTGTTGTCATATGTATGAACTTCTATTTAGCTTTGTCAGCTGATGTGAGCACTGACCTTAACTATTTGTTGTCCCATTTCTTCTACTAACCATGACAAAAAGAGATTCATCCATATAGACAAGGGATATTGCTGCATTAATTTATTTTTTCTACAAGTACCACTTTCAGTAGAGAAGTTTTTAAGTGATTTATAAGGAGCTACACATATCACTATGCAACCAATGTCTCCATTTGAGAAAAGAAAGATATGCCGATTGAATGACCCACCTCTATCATCTTATGCCATCAATCTCTTTTCGTATACTACTATGAAAAAAGAGATATCCTTTTACATTTAGTACCACGTTGTACTCTGCTTTGGAGACATTACTGCTGGAAGAGGAATGGATGACGGTGTATTGCATGGACCTCTTGCATACCATGGCATCATCATACAGAAATCCATGTATATAATCTCTCATACACTTGTTGTGTTTCCCTGTTTGAACTAATAGTATATATAAGCATATGGCCATACTATTTCTTTTCCATCTTTAAGAAATGTCAAATAGGAACTTCTGCATGAAAAAAATATCTTCATTGGTAACTTTCATGGCTGATGGTTGCTGGGATATTTCCATTTTTTCATATCAAGTTCAATTACTTAGTCTAGCACCATTTTGTTCATAGGTGGTGGAAGCGGCCATGAACCTGCCCATGCTGGATTTGTTGGGCCAGGGATGTTGACCACTACTGTTTCTGGAGATGTTTTCGCTTCTCCACCTGTTGATTCTATTTTAGCTGTATGTTTCTTTTTTAGTAAAACAATGTGTAGCTTCTTAAGTAGCATAAATCATCTTAGCTGACATTTAACTGCATCCTCTCACTATAGGCTATTCGAGCTGTAACTGGTCCCCTGGGGTGCCTTCTAATAGTAAAGGTACTCTCACTGTGATATCAGCTTTAAAATGTCAAATCATGAGAGAAGAGGGATCTTTTAGTACACTTGAGGATTGTGCAATATGAGTATCTGATGCTTTGGGACCGTGCATTGTTTATTTATTACCACATCAATAACTACCATTTCCTCCACCTATCATCCTGTGTTCATGCATGAATGGATAGAGAGGAGGGATAACATTTGCTTTTCTGAAATTTGCTTGGGACATATCAATTTTTAGTTCAATAAGAAGTCTGTGGTACATCTGTATTTGCTTTGAAAGGGGCCAAACTGTGGGCTGTTTTGGATAAATGTGTATGCTTGATGTAGTGATACTGTTACTTTTCTCCATTATACTTTTCTCCATTATTTTTAACTGCAGTGCTCCATTTTGTTCAATTTTATAAGTGTAAACTGTGAAGCAATGCACTGCTCTCATCTTACTAAGCTTCTGTTATTATGCTTGTATAATTAAACAATTAGCATACTTAGGTGTAGTTGTAAGGTTTTGTGCATTAATGTTTGTTTTCTACATTTCTGAGATTGATAAATCTGAAATTAAAACATCTATTTGTTTCCAACATGGAGAACCTGCTGCTGTTGTTGTTGAACTCCATTCAGTTGATGTAGTGGTAGAACATGTTCTTAAGCAGATATTGTCACAGGTAAGTTTTTGATTTGCAATGTTTGTTTAATCCTCTATGTTTATCTATTTGTATTTGTTGAACAGAATGCAAAATTTATTTTGTTTCCCACACCGCAGCCACACATATCACTACATTTTCTGGTCATATTTCTCTGTTTAATTCAAAACCCTATTTTGCATAATTTGTGAAGTCTAATGCTAAACTGTGTGTAGTGTCGATTAATTATTTAGAAAAGGCAAAAACTATAGTTTGTCTCAGCTTTGAGGTTCTCCTTTCTGTTCCAGACATATCCTTTTTCCGGTTTACCAAAAAAGCAGCATGTTTTTATTAAGACAATCCTGGATTACAGGAGAGGTAAGGATGACAATGGGGGTTGAATGCGTATTACAAGGAATGAGGACTAATCCTCTCCTAGGATGGTTTTCCTTAGTGGAACATTATACGACTTTATCTGTCTCACACTCTCAATAACTGCAATTTGTAAAATAGGGACTTTCTATGGCAGTATGGTTTTATGGATAATTTCTTTGTTTGCTGGTGGTGACCGGGGTAGGGGGCATCCATTTTGAATTCCTGAAAGATTACTTATTACCATCTCTATAGCACTTCATTACGTGGTTCGGATAGGCCAGAGACTTGGAATAGCTGGAAGGGCTCACAGGATTGAGTCAGACATAAAATTAGAAATATTTTTTCTTTTTTCAAATTTAACTTTGGGCTGCCTACTACATTAATTACTTCTGCTTATTAGTTGTTACAAAATGTATTGAATGCTATATATGAGAGGATTGAGAGCTTATGGCAGCGTGGTTATAATAGTGTCTATACATATAAATCATACTTAGATTAAAATTCACTTTTTCTGGTGATCTCTTTGAAAGTGTACATTTCTTATTTACTTTTTAACTGTAGCTATTTCCTTTCTCCCCACTTTGTTCTGAATTGAGTACAGTTTGTAACTTTGTTCTTTAACCCCATCTCTAATGTGCAGATTAGGAGCCACTCCTATCATGGAACTTATGATCACAGCGAGAAAAGCAGTTCCTGAGTTGCAATTGGTGTATGGCATTGTTGTTGACAGAGTGTACACTGGCACACTTATGACATCTCTTGATATGGTAGGTCAGTTTTTTGCGTGATTCCTCGAAATGATGATGTGGATGAGCTTTGTCATCTCTACATTCAGTTAACATGATTTTACCAAACCTCGTAAGTCATTCAATTGTCAAGATAACTGCTTTGCTCCAACCGTCATGATCACAAATGAAAATGCTTTATATATTGTTCATAATCATCTGATATACGAGCAGTTGACTTAAGTGGAATTGTTTATCTAATCACAATGCATATGTCAGCATTTTATGTTGACTTAGCTTCCTAAGTAACCAGGCAGGCAGGCAATATTGTTTTAGATTCTTTCCCTTTGCAAGATTATCTATTACCATTACAAAGTCCGATGATAGCATTTTGAAGAGACTTGATGCTCCCACTAAAGCTCCAGCTTGACCTGTTGGTTTTGAAGGTGAGTTAATTTGGCCTGCTCCCACTGAAGCTATGTATCTAGAAAAGCCAGAATGACTTATTATTTGGAATGGAGGGAGTGCCTTTAGCTAGTGTTCTCTAACATTGCTCTGAAGCGCTCTAAAAGGTGCAAGGTGTTTGGTGGGCTCCATGTCTAGTGGCTAATCAGTGCTAAGCGGGTGGTTGATTGGTGCTAGTGGCTAATTGGATGATTAGGTGCTAGGAGGAAGGATTTAACTTAGACCTAGGTGAAGGCTAGGTGGGTGGGTGGGATGGTCACATTTTAGAACAATGTTGTAGTCAGTTTATTTCTGGTGTATAAATTGGACTTATACTGTTATCTTCCTTTCATTATTTTTCCCCTTCTACCATCATCTCACTTGCCACACATTTCCTTTTCTTAGTACATACTAAAGACTCGCTTACGATCGTATTTGTGCGAACATTGATTCAAAGATCAGAACAAGTGTAGGTTATTCAGATAAATGGAAATTTATTGAGACACATAGACTGCTATCAAAACTTCCGAATCATGTTTTCAAGCACGGGGAAAATATTTTAAGCTCTATCGTAACCTTTCAATTATGAATCAATTTTCTAAACTTAGTGTTGATCACTTGACTGTAGAAGAAACCGTCCACCAAAGAAAGTTTCCTGTTCCTCTACCACCATCACCTTCAATTAAGGATGACGAGGTAAAACAAATTCCCTATTTGGATTTTTGCCATCTGTTTTCTACGAGGCCGTCAGTTCCACCTGTGATCTAATGTGGAAGCGTGCAAGAAGTGCAAGTAGTCAAGCTTTTCTTTGGTTCTCAGGGGTTATGGGTGTTTTTTTTTTATTTCAAGTTGTTATGTGGTATTGCTTCGTCTCAGTTTCTCAATGCTAGATCCAGAGAATGGGAAAACCGTGGGCTCTATTATCATTGTCCCTTTTCAAGACTGTTCTGCATTTTTTTGTCTTTTATCACACTGGCATATGCATTTGCAGTTGCTCAGTTATCATGATTTGTTATTCTTCTGTAGATTTTTGCTCCATCTCAGGAGCTGAGCAAGCAAGGGTGTATCCTGGAGGCTGCTATTGAAGCAAGTGCTACTGCAATTATCAATCTCAAGGATAGCCTAAATGAATGGGACAGTAAAGTGGGCGATGGTGACTGTGGAACCACAGTGAGTTATATTGTGTTTACCAATTCAATTCAATGCTTATTTGACTACTGCTATTTTAGGATTGAGAAATTCACTGCTGTTCTTTTCAGATGTGTAGAGGTGCAATAGCTATTCTTGAAGATATGAAAAAGCGGTAAGTTAAAAGCACTACAAATCATTGGTAAGAAGTTTTTTATTCTTGAAATGTAGATTAGAAATATGATAATTGTGCTACTGACATGTGATAAAAAGACGATATATGAACTCCCACCTGGTTTTACTAGCTTTAGTATATAATGCTAGTTCGTGTCCAGTGGAAATCATATACATGATGCTGATGATTCTCATTAGTTCTATCACTGTATCACACTTCATTTCTAGCCAGTGTCTTTTTCTGTATCATTTTCCTGATATTATAATCGGGTTTGCTAATTTTATGATATAATTCGTTTTTTTCATGTAAAATATGACCAAAATTTAGTGCATTTTTCTCTATTCCAGTTACCCTATGGATGATGCATCTAGAACAATAAATGAAATTGGGGCAACAATCCAAAGGATGATGGGTGGAACAAGTGGAATCTTGTATGATAATTTGTGCTTTCCGAAGGATGTTCTTATTGTCTCTAGAGGAAATAGATGAGATGGTGAGCTTATCTATGTGAGCTGTTGTAAAGTTTTGGTCAAATTTGTGAATATGCATGTGTGTTTGTTGAAGTTGAATCTTAGTTGTGTAGTGACATTTGTATTATTGTGGACAATTGTTGATGGATTAATTTTTATTTTTTTAACCATTTAAAATTGTCTCGTTGGACTGTTTGTCGCTAAAACCATATGTACCATCACACAGTCCATCACTAAAAAGTAGCAATGGACTATCTGTCACTATAAATATTCAGGGCAGCAGACTGTCTATCACTAAAAGTATTGTCTGACGCTAAAGATTTTTAGCGATAGGACTTACAGCGTTTGTAGAAGTCTGTCACTATAATTTTTTAGCGTCAGATTGTCTGTCGCTGTAGCCGCTTTTAGCGTCAGACCATCCACCGCTAATCTTGATGTTGTGGTGTAGTGAGAGTATTAAGGTAGAATGCCTTTGAATTGGGTTGAACCCGGAGAAAGGAGATACTATGGTATTGATTTTGTCAAAGAGACTGAAGAGCAGGTGCATATCATTCAACAACATATAGAAGCCGCTCAATAAAGGCAGAAGAGTTATGCGGACAAGAGAAGAAGACCTATTGAATTTGAAGTAGGTAATGCATACCTAAAAGTGTCGCCAATGAAAAAAGTTACAACGGTTTGGGGTCAAAAGAAAGCTTGCACCAAGATATGTAGGTCCATATCCAATCATTGAGAAAAGCGGAAGAGTAGCCTACAAGATTTAGTTACCTCCAGAAATGAGGGCTATCTTCAACGTTTTTCATGTATCCCACTTAAAAAATTGTTTACGAGTTCCAGAAGAAAGAGTGGAGGTTAGATATATCAAGTTAGAATCAGATCTAGCCTATGAAGTGAAGCCATTTCAAATTATAGATAGCAAGGATAGAGTAACTCGAAACCGTGTGATCAAGTTTCACAAAGTGGTGTGGAATAATCATAGTGAGCAAGATGCTACGTGGGAACAGGAAGATTATTTATGTGAGGTTTATCCCCTTTTATGAAAAATGGTAGGTCTTTTGAATCTCGTGATGAGATTTATATAAGGGAGAGGGGCTGCAACACCCTAGTGTTAAGCATGCATTGGGCACTTGCATTTTATGAGCACAAGAATCATCCCAGCATTCATGAGCATGAGCATAAGAAGTTTCATCTCATTCACTTTGTCTTTATCACATGTGATGTTGTATATATATATATATATATGCTTGCCATTGTGTGTGACCAGTGCATGAAATGGTTGTGAAGTCACAAAAACACCTTAGACACATTTAGGATGGTACATGGAACAAGTTTAGTACTCATAACTTGGACCAAAACAGCCCCCAAGTCATAGTTATTCTAGAAACTCTAATTTTCATGATCCTAGTTTGACCAAAGTTGAACTATAGCATAGAGTGTTTGCATGGCAGTGCACCCTTAAGCAAAGTTGTAGTACTTGACTAGAGTAACAACTTTTATTTTTTGGTCAAGACCAAATTTAGTGCATAGCATGCTAAAAAATATCTCACAAGTAGCAATTAAATGTTGTTTTCAATCTTAGAAATTTTTCTAAGTCATGAACTGATTTTCAGTTTTGATGTACCATAGTTTGAAACTTTGCATTTTGAAAACCATGGCGAATTTGTGGAAACCTTCTAAAGAAAAGTTGTAGATCTCGCGTAGCTCTACAATTCTAAGTAATGGAGATTTTGCTAACTCGCCACGGATTAGGAACACCGGTTGCTTGAAATCGTGCTGTTAGTCGTTTTGTCAGGGCCGATGGCGTGGACGCTGCACCGTTAGTGGCCGACCAGCCACAAGGCACATGTGCCATGTGGTGGCCATACGCCGGCATTGGCCCAGCTGGTCGGGCCAAAGCGGAGTGAACGTGAAGCGACATCGCTGCTCCCTTCATTCTTGCTCTCTCGCCCTCGCTTGCCTTCTCTCCCGCCCGTGCACGCAGCACCGCCACCCAATCCACCTCGCCCACAGCTTCGCCACCACCACCTCTACCACCTTGACCCGCTAGCTTCGTGACTTGAGCAAGGGTAAGGCCACATTCTGAGTCACCATCACTGCCCAGCACGAGCGCCAGCCACAACCCGTGCACCTCCGCTCTCTCTCTTCCTCATCTGGTCTTCGCCAAAGGTCCTATAATCTAGATCCACCATCCATTTAACCACTACCACCGCCGCCACAGGGAACACGTAACCGTGCCATGTGCGTCCGCCATGGCCACGCGCATAAGCTCGCCGTCGCCGACCTTAATCGGCCACTCGTAGACCGCTCTGGTGCCCGGTATCGAGTCGCCTAAAGCATAGCGTCTTTCTTGAAGATAGAGACCCGCCTCTCGCTGCCGGTTAGCCAGAATGGAAAGCGCCACCGCCGTGCGCTGTGCGCCACCGCGCCACCATGCACGTGGCCGGAGCACGTCGTCGCTCCACCGTGACCTAGACCTAACCCTAGATCTCCGCTAGGTCACTACGAAGCTGTAACAGTGCTCGCCTGAGCATGCCATGGCCAGGGATTTATGGAGCACCGCCGCGCACCTCCGCCAAGCCGCCATTAGCACCGCCGCCATAGCCAACCGCCGTTAGAGGTCCGACGACCTACCTCAATCGATGTGGGTTGACGAGAGGAACACGACGAGGTAACCTCATCGTCGGAAACCTCGCCGTCGGTGAGCTATCGCCAGTCAATCTCCGTCCTCTGTTCTGTTTCGCTGATGTGCGGGCCCTGTTGACCGTGGGCCCCATCTATCAGTCTGTGTGTTTGTTTTGATTTTCTTATTTTTCATAGATTTGAATCCAAACTTCAAAAATTCATATCTAGAGCTAGGAGTGTCCAAATTGAGTGAACCAAATTTTGTTGGATTCATAATGAAGTGTACTATTAGATAAAAATATGAAACCTACTGTTTGGTATGTTTTTTTAGGAGAATTAAATTGAGCTAGATAAGTGCTTTTAAATTGTTTTCAATCTTTTAAAATGTATAACTTGAGCTAGGAAAGTAATAAAATTGTTATTCCAATTTTGCTCATCTTGTGTTGACATGATCTAGCTAGGAAAAATACTAAACCTATAGTAAGCATACTTGGAATATGGTCTTCCTATTTAATCTTAAATAATTGCTAGTTTCTAGTGAAAATAAATGGGGTAAAAATACATAACTAATGATCATGCAAATTTTTACACAATGTTATGGAGCTAGGATGAATGTAATAAAAATATGAAATCTGTTGTTTGACACTTTTCACTAAGCTAAACTATTTTTGCTAAAATAAGCCTATGCAACTTATCATTTTTGTAGAGATGGATATACTTATCCAAATAGCATGAAATTTGTACAGTAGACTTTTGGGGTCATATGTAGGCTACTGTAATTTTCTTAGAATTTATTGTATAATTTTGATATATTTTCCTTATTTCACCTTAGTGTCCAAATAAATTAATAAAGGCATTTAAATAATTTATTTGGGCTTGACGATCATCATGTTTTCTAGAGTGTGTATGATGCCTATTAACTGTTGGTACTATTGGTTGTGCCCAAATTTGATTGCTTGTATGCAGTCAAATATTAATTGCTCTATAATTCAATTACAGTGACTGTTTGGACAGTTTCGGTTGTTAAGTAAATTGCATGGGTAAGATGATGTTTGGTGTGAATCTTGTAAATGATAAAGTTGTAGATAACTTACTTATCTTGCTTGTGTCAAAGTTCATGGTAATTGGCTAAATGGTTTGAGAGTTATAGCTGTTAGAAGTTGGTCTCTAGAAATGCTTGTTCCCTGGAATTTCTGGATAGATCTGGGAAATTGCTTTATTTGACCTTGATATCCATTGAATCATCTTGAGATCACTATAAGAAAGTTGTAGGCAGCTTTATAAGCTTTCCAGAAAGTCCAAGATCATAGTATTTGGTTGAGTAGAACTCGATTTATGGCCAAAATAAGTTGTAATTATTTGTCTTATGTGATGCTTGTGTAGATGCTTAGGCTAATTAAGATTAGTTGTTAGCTGCAGGTTCTAAGCCTCTTACTGATGCTAAACAACTTTACCTTAGGTTGCTAGAACTTGGTGAGTGTATGTTTCTTGTACTATAGAAGAGATATGCACCTGCTTAGTAAAGATCAACTGGAAGAAAGTTATACATCTACTTGGCCAACAAATGTCAAACGTATCATACATCTTGCAGATAACCATGCTCATTTATATATGATTTATCATATCATCTCATCTCTTATGCATTCATGATACTCATTTGTAATATGTTCCCTGGAAGGAGTGACTCTACTCGAGTTTGAACCCAAGCATCAGGAGGAGCAACAGGCAGCCTAGGAGTAGGAGGTTCAGGCGGAAGGAGGAGTCAACGTGGAATATCTTCCTGAGTGTCCTGACCACCAACCTTCCTTGTTCTTGAAAGACAAGCCCCATAGCATTATAAGCCTCCTATGTTTTTTTAAATATCACTTGCGTCCTTTATGTTTGATGCATTAGGTTATAAGAGTTGATTAGAACCACTTGATGCATAGAACTACCTTGTCCAAATAAATATATCTTAAATCCTTTGTAGGTCCAAGA